GAGAGTAGGACTACCTTGACTAAGTAAGCCATATATTGTAATGAGGCTTGGGGGGACCTGGGCCACCAGTACTCCCCGGGTATATGTATGCTGGCCACTCTCAAGGGCGCGGACCCTCCGCTGCATGTTGAATACTGCCTCCTCACGCCTCGAACTATTTGTCCTGGTCAGCTATGTGCTGACTACCTGGTCATCCATCACCTGTTGACGTGTATATCTTGGTGTATACACCCACCCACCCACCCTGCTAGTGGGGTCACCACGCCCTGCTAGTGGGGTCACCACGCCCTGCTAGTGGGGTCACCACACCCTGCTAGTGGGGTCACCACACCCTGCTAGTGGGGTCACCACACCCTGCTAGTGGGGTCACCACGCCCTGCTAGTGGGGTCACCACCCTGCTAGTGGGGTCACCACACCCTGCTAGTGGGGTCACCACACCCTGCTAGTGGGGTCACCACACCCTGCTAGTGGGGTCACCACACCCTGCTAGTGGGGTCACCACACCCTGCTAGTGGGGTCACCACACCCTGCTAGTGGGGTCACCACACCCTGCTAGTGGGGTCACCACACCCTGTTAGTGGAGTCACCACAAGTGTTTACAGTGCTCCTGAACCTGCTCTAGGAGTCGAATTTTCGATTTTTATCTTCCTGGTAATCTTGAAATATCTGAGAAATGTGCTTCATATATTTTCAACCCGTATTGTAAGCACATGCTTACAACACGGGGTAATCAAACATAGGTCTAACCTAACTAGGTTTAACCGGACACAGGTCTAACCTAACCTAGGCCTAGCCTAACTTAGGCAGAACTATATACGCAGCCTAGTAAACCAAATACCGGAAGCCAATATACAGTTCTGTATTTGACTTTTAAACATGAAAAATGCACAAGTCATGTTTGGTTTGTAGTGTTCACGTAATAGGAAGGTGTCAGCTGTGCACATACGCCTGCCGCCCATCCCGACATAATATACAATGTATATTACTTACAATAACTATTTCCTCAATTATCTAAAAAGATACTTTTACACCCTAAAAAAGTTACGGCTTGTATTACTAAAATAGTCAAAACGACATACTGTTAGAATGGAATAGGAACTAAAAACCGTAATCTAACCTGTCCAAGCAATCATATGCCAATCTTAGGCTAATATAGCTCATACATTTGCGTTACTGGGCCTAGGGGTTGTAACCCCTAGAAGTAGAAGTTGTACTTATCTATGGTAGTTGTGCTCACATAGGGTACATTATGATTACTTTATTTTCCAGTGAGGCGAGATTTAGTTCCATTGGTCTTTCCTGGTAATTCATACCTCACAGCTCACAGACTAGTCTGGTGCTATGCTTTTGATCTGTCTCCAACTTCGTTTTGTTTGACAAGTTAAGGACTTCACGCTGGTGCTGCATATTTCAGAACTGGTCTGACATATGTGTGGTACACAAGGTTTTGAATGGTTTCTTAAACAGATTTCTAAAAGGCAGTTCTGATGTTGGCCATCCTAGGATACACAACTGTAATCTTATATATGTTTAATTTAGAGAAGTTCGCTCCTTGTGTGTGTGTGTGTGTGTGTGTGTGTGTGTGTGTGTGTGTGTGTGTGTGTGTGTGTGTGTGTGTGTGTGTGTGTGTGTGTGTCCAAACATAGCGCGCATGATGTAATCCCATGTGGTTAACAGCCAACACTATGTTATTGCCATTCAGTGCAAGTTTCAATGTCCTCGTACCTAGTAGTGTCTCTCTTTCTCTCTCTCTCTCTCTCTCTCTCTCTCTCTCTCTCTCTCTCTCTCTCTCTCTCTCTCTCTCTCTCTCTCTCTCTCTCTCTCTCTCTCTCTCTCTCTCTCTCTCATGTGTTGGGTCTGCAGCTCACCCGTGGACTAAACAGCATCAAGTGGAAGTATTGCTATGACTTCTGTTTATGTTATGCTAGAAGGGTGGTGCCTGGCGGTGCCTGGGATAGTCTGTCTCTTATCCCACCCCCACATTCTCCTCTTATCTCCCTCCCCCATCATTCCCCTCTTATCTCTCTCTCCCGACATTCTATCTCTTCTCCCATTTCCGCTCCCTTTCCAGCCCCTCTCCACTCACTCCTACTCTTTCCTCCCATCTCCCCATAATGCCTCTTCCCACCATCACCATCTCCCTGCCCTTCCCATCTTCTTTCCTCTCACCCGTCTGGCCTTCAATCTCGAACAGACATATATATATATATATATATATATATATATATATATATATATATATATATATATATATATATATATATATATAAATTCATTTTAGCGTTTTCGAGTAAATCATGGAAATATGCAGGTAATTTTTTTTTTATTAACATATTAGGTACATCTGCATTAGTGCAGCTACATGCAGGTAAACAGCGGTAGTAGACATTGGAATCTACGGAAAACACATCCACTATTTCATTTCCGACCATGCAAATGACACCGGGGCGGGGGGGGGGGGGGCGAGGTTAGAGGGCGATATTTCTCAAAGTTCCCAGGGACCCTTTAGGACCGCCCTTGAGAACGCTTTTGAGCAAGCTCTTCGGGGACGCCCTTGAAGACGCCCTCGGGACTCGTATAATATATATTGTTAATTTATATATATAAGAAATATGGTTTGTATGTCTAGGGTTTTAAAAGACTGATCACTTTAGATGCTTGTGAGATGTGTTAGCCAACGTCTGACACATTGTAGTGTTGTAAGTGTTTCTATCATATTACGTCTGACACATTGTAGTGTTGTATGTCAGTGTTTCTATCATACTTGTCTGCTCACTCGTCACAAGGTACACGTGTCTGGGCTTCCTGCGCGGGTTGTCTGTAATTGCAATTTACTCTTTGTGATGTTGGAATGTTGCAGAGCCGTGTTGTGTTAATATTTTATGCATGAATGTCCCAGCAACCCCCACGCCCCCCCCCCCTGTTGACCACTTACTAATCCACTGTTATGTTTTCCTCTTATTGTCTCTCATTTCCGTTATTTTATGATACATCTATCTATATATATATATATATATATATATATATATATATATATATATATATATATATATATATATATATATATATATACACGACACACACTTGCATATAATTTATATATAACTTCTAGAACTCAACCTCCATATATATATATAATATATATATTATATAAATATATAAGGTATGCATCTCTAAGCTACGAATCACTATAAACTCTGTGACTTCGAGGATTCGAACCTGGGTGGCCAGGTCACCTCACTGGCTATCCAGTAATAATACCACTCCACTATCATATGTACTGAATATATTTCTCTAACACACACTCACAAATTCCCAGGCGTGTGTGTGTGTGTGTGTGTGTGTGTGTGTGTGTGTGTGTGTGTGTGTGTGTGTGTGTGTGTGTGTGTGTACAGTACCGAGCTTTAGCTTTTGGACCCCGCCTTTCCAGCCAACTGTTGTGCTGATCCATTTTTTTTTTATTATATCTTCGTTTGAAGTTATGATTGTAGGTCACTTCTACAACCTGCTCATTTAGTTCATTCCATTTCCCTACAACTTTTACGGTAAAAGACGACTTTCTAACATCTCTATGAGTCATCTGGTCCTACCGCCCAGCCCCTCTTGTTTTAATGGTTTTTATTGTGAACATCTTTGTCCACTGTGTCCTTCTCCCTAAGTATTTTATATGTACCGATCATATCCCTTCTCTTTCCTCTTTTCCAGCGACGTTAGGTACATGTCTTTCGGTCTACATATCCTCGCTGTTCCAGGACGAATGTCCTTGCAAAACTCTGTACCTTTTATAGTTTGTGTGTGTTCATGTGTATAGGTGTCGAGCTGTTAGCTCTTGGACCCCGCCTTTATAACGCCTGCCTAATGTATATACTGACTCCCGACCTATATTACTTTGTTATTCTCTCTCTCTCTCTCTCTCTCTCTCTCTCTCTCTCTCTCTCTCTCTCTCTCTCTCTCTCTCTCTCTCTCTCTCTCTCTCTCTCTCTCTCTCTCTCTCTCACACACACACACTCGAGAAGCTCAGGAATCTGAGAGGCGGGACCAAAGAGCCGAAGCTCAACCCCCGCAAGCACAACTCGGCGAGTACACACACACATCCATCTCCTGGATACAGCCCGCAACAGCTGACTAACTCCCAGGTACCTATTTAATGCTTAGTTAAACAGAAGCATCAGGTGAAACAACTGCCCATTTGTTTCCGCCTCGGCCGGTAATGGAACCCGGGTCCGTGTACCGCCAGTCCCGCTTGGCCACCAGAACTTGGGCCCCGCGCGCGTGAGAGAGAGAGAGAGAGAGAGAGAGAGAGAGAGAGAGAGAGAGAGAGAGAGAGAGAGAGAGAGAGAGAGAGAGAGAGAGAGAGAGAGAGAGAGAGAGAGTATCAGTGATATAGGACATTATATACTCTGGTACTCCACCTCAACGCTTTCCCACTCAGATTTAATTCAGTTTGGGAAAGCGTTGTTACTGGAGTGCCTGAGGAGTGTGCTGGGACCTGTGTTGTCTGCCATATATACGAGCCATGTACACACAGCCCTCAACAATAACATTTGCAATTAGCAGATAATTCAAAAGTAGCGGAGGAGATCAATTCAGAAACTGACTCAATATCGTTACAAGACGTTAATAGGTTATAAAAATGGACGAAAGTTCGACAAATGCAGTTTAAGGCTTATATATCTTGGGTCGTGAGCCTAGAACATGTCAACAGAATTATCAGACGTCACCAGAATAACGTTAACAAGACTTAAGTGTGAAGGTGGAAAGACTTAAGGATGCCGGGAAGGTGTGTGTGTGTGTGTGTGGCTGTGTAGCAGGACCCGGGCTACACAACACCTGGCTACTGGACAACATGCCAGGCACAACAGTCCAGTATATCACCCGAGAAGCCTGTGTACCCAACTAATGACAGTTGTCTGTGAATGCTCTGTGCCGCCTCGGCCAAGCGGGTCGGAGGCGTGTACGAGATGTTCCCCCACAGTGACTGTTGCGTTTCTCCTCCCAGGCTAACTCGGGGTGTCCGTGGTGTTGGTTTCGTGGGTTCCTCCCAACCGTCTCCTCTCAGCCTGCCACCAAACTCCAGTGGTGCTCTTCCGATCGTCCCATCTGTTGGGGTTTGCAGTCCGCGCGGCATCGTGCACGAATCGTCCCGGCGTGTCTTCCGGCCTGTCAGGTACACATTTGCAGGAACCCATCGGGCCGAGCCGTGTACTCTGACCGTACTCAACTGGCTGAGTGACTGAGTGACCGCACGGGTGGGTGGTTACACAGTAACAGCTACAAGGGCCCACGGTAACCCACAGGAACCCACAGTTTACACCTCTTACTCCTGCTTCACACACGCTACACTTCCCAAATTTTGTCAGCGTCACATAATTTGTTAATACTAATTTGTACAATGTAAAATAGGTATTATTTATTATTAGTTTCACCTCGGTTGTGGCCTTTTGACGTGACGTAAGATGACGCGAAGGTGTTAGTGTGTCTTAGTGGTGGAGGCGGGGGGGCGCGTCCCCCCTCCACCACACCCCCACCCCACACCCCCCATACACCCCCACACACCCCCAACTCCCCCCCCCACACCCCCCACACCCCCCACACCATGGGTATGGCCACATAACAAAATAATCATGTGACCAGTTACAAATAAGCGAGTTGCTTCATCTTGACATGGAAAGTTGAAGTTGTTAAACACGACTCTGTTAAAGTACATTTGTCTTATTGTTTAAACTAAGACGATGGTTCAGCAGGAATGGTAATGGTGTCCGTACTGAGGCTCAGGACGAGTATATCTTTTTGGAACAGTACGTTCATTCCCTTCACTTGTGTCACCTGTTGTGTATACCTTCACATTCTTGTGTATGTATTCCTTCTTGTAATAATTGTAATTACGAAGCAATAAGATGCTTAGTATCTTAACATACTAAGAAGGTTAGGTAAGGTCGGTGTTTTCTATGAAACTTTTCAAGGTAAACTAAAATATTCACAATAAATTAGTATGTCACATATGCACTTATTTAATAAGTCAATATTGACCTAAAGAAAGTGCGAGACGGGTTTCAACAGTACATACCTACAAAGATACATGAAGATGGGAAGAGTCAAGTAGCATCAGAAGAGCTCCTAAAGCCACTAACAATCACTGTTTCTTCCACCCAAGTTATTAACTCCACTTTCAAAAATACAGCAAATCCACCAACCCGTCATCACACTAGGCTGGTTAAAGCAGCGGCCGTCCTTCCCAGACGCATTCATTAATTTTATCATACTGTGTATTAATAGTTGGTTTGTTCTCATATAAAATTAATATTATTATACATAAAAATTCTATGTCTAGTTAGGCGTAGGTTTGGTTAGGTTAGGTGTTTAGGATCTGTTGGCGATTATTTGTATTTGTAGTACGTGGATGAAGCATTTACAGCGTTGTGGTTCGAACACCAGTCGTCAGTGAAGCACTTGTTCCGGAAGTGTTCGAACGAAATCAGTTGTGAGTCGTGTGTAAACCGTTTTTCATTCATAAACAGGGGGTTTGGCGGGTGGATGGACTCACTTTTGGGTCTTTGTTTAGAGGACGGACTGCTTAGAGAATGCAGTTGAATCCCAGGTTGCAATATTTTTGACCATGTCGGGGTGTAGTGGTCTAGAAAGTACCTGGGAGCACCCTACGCATAGGTTCGAATCTTCCTCATGGCTCCTACTGATTTTCTCATGTCTACTGTCTTGCTGGGGCTGAAGCTGGCTGAAGTGTGCAGTTGTTCTTGGGTGAGAAAGTTCCTCAACACTGTGGAGCAAGAGCATGGTAGACAAGTAAAGGTATTGGGTGGTGGTGGTGGGGGCCGACGCCTGCAGGGTGGAGGTGGTGGTGGGGGCCGACGCCTGCAGGGTGGAGGTGGTGGTGGCCGACGCCTGCAGGGTGGAGGTGGTGGGGGCCGACGCCTGCAGGGTGGAGGTGGTGGTGGCCGACGCCTGCAGGGTGGAGGTGGTGGGGGCCGACGCCTGCAGGGTGGAGGTGGTGGGGGCCGACGCCTGCAGGGTGGAGGTGGTGGGGGCCGACGCCTGCAGGGTGGAGGTGGTGGGGGCCGACGCCTGCAGGGTGGAGGTGGTGGGGGCCGACGCCTGCAGGGTGGAGGTGGCGTGGTAGTGTCAGGAAGACTGGTCATTGCAGTGTTGGAGAAAGTGAGGGTTATTGATCTGACACGCTGGTTATGTTGTTAGTGACCGGCTGTGTCATGGAGGGTGTGTGTGTGTGTGTGCACCTCCACTCTCCTCCCACACACTCATGTTCTCATGGCCTCACCTACATGTAGTCATGTCACTGTGGGACCGCGATAGATTAGTGTGACACTGTGGGAGCGCGATAGATTAGTGTGACACTGTGAGACCGCGATAGATTAGTGTGACACTGGGAGCGCGATAGATTAGTGTGACACTGTGAGACCGCGATAGATTAGTGTGACACTTTGGGACCGCGATAGATTAGTGTGACACTGTGAGACCGCGATAGATTAGTGTGACACTTTGGGACCGCGATAGATTAGTGTGATATGAACACCAGTGAGCATTGCTCCTGACATGGAAATTCCATTTTGGTGGTGCGTGAGACGGTGTAAGTGCGGGTACGGTCCGCCCGTGACCCGCTTCCTCCACCTTTGTCCCGTAAATGTCAGGTGACGTCACGCGGGCATGCCATAACACGCCCCGTGAGCCTCACTTTACCTGCACCGTGTGTGTCCGTGTGTCCGTGTGTCTGTGTGTCCGGGTGTCCGTGTGTCCGGGTGTCCGCTACTTATATATAATATTACTTTACATAGAGGGGGGGGGTCGTTACTTCTAGATGGCTTAAAAACCTGTAACAGTAACAAGTTGGTCACAATGAGGTTAATAACCTGCCACACCCTGGTCGCTTATTACAGCTGATTCCTGCCCCCATTACCACTGTAGCTCACTACTGCCCCCATTACCACTGTAGTCCACTACTGCCACCATTACTGTCCCCATTACTGCCACCATTACCACTGTAGTCCACTACTGCCCCCATTACTGTCCCCCCATTACTGCCACCATTACCACTGTAGTCCACTACTGCCACCATTACTGTCCCCATTACTGCCACCATTACCACTGTAGTCCACTACTGCCCCCATTACTGCCACCATTACCACTGTAGTCCACTACTGCCCCCATTACTGCCACCATTACCACTGTAGTCCAATACTGCCCCCGTTACTGCCACCATTACCACTGTAGTCCATACTGCCACCATTACTGCCCCCATTACCACTGCGCTTCTTTTCCAGGTCGATACATTTTATTTCATGATATCACGAAGGTCGCCCTCCTGACCTGCTTCCTGGCCTTCTGTCCCTATTGGAGCACGTCCCACCCCTCGTCTTCACCACCACCACCATCATCATCATCATCATCATCATCATCATCATCATCATCATCATCATCACCATATCATCATCATATCATCATCATCATATCATCATGACTATGACCACCACCACCAGCAGACTTTAAGATTATGGTTCTTGAGGGAAAAAGAACCAGACAAATCTTCATCTGCTACGTAACATTGTACAGATGCATATAGAAGCAAACTTGGCATCTGACAGCTTCACATACTTCATAGATGGATCAGTAGACCAGCAGGGACAAGAAACCGGAGCTGCAGTTAAGGCAGGAAACTCTGTAAATAGTTGGAGGCTCTCAAACGGGTGTTCGACTTCACAAACAGAGATGCTAGCCATTCAAAAGGCTTTGGAACATGATCTTGCTGAACACCGACAACATGTTATCGTACAGATTCGAGAACTGCCATTGAAACCTTGCAACAAAAACACATATGTGATAACATACATCTGATAATAAATGTCATATCATTAATGCAAACACTCAAACGTCAAGGCCGTCGGGTACTCATCAACTGGGTGCCAAGTCATGTGGGAATAATAAGAAATGACATTGCAGACGAAGCTGCAAAACTTGCAACTAAGCGAAGAAATGTAGACATTTATATACCATTTATATATCACAGATTAAGAAAGTAATTAGAAAGAGAGCACTGCAGATGATGTACAGTGACCACAACACAGCAGTTGCAACATCAGGATCTGCGAGTTGGTACAAGAATTCAACCAACTACGAACCACTTAGTTTGATGAAAGGGGGCAGTAGAACAACAGAAGTACACTTATATCGCATCAGGCTTGGATACCCATGTGCATGGGAAATAGGCTTACAGGTTCCAGAAGATGAGAGGAAATGTCAGCACTGTGGAGAAATGCCCGACAGACCACTGGAACATTATCTAACACAGTGCACAGTTAGACACACAACAGACCACTGGAACATTATCTAACACAGTGCACAGTTACAAACCAATAAGATTTCAACTTAGATTCAACAGAGCAGAAGAAGTTGTTAAACACATGGGACAAAATCTTACTGAAGCGACCATACGAGTCATAAATACTCACACTCCGCCCAAGTAAAACAGAAACAAGCAACACTTAGTGGGCCAGCCAGAGGCTTAGGGCCCGCCCAGGAATTTCCCATTGGAAAAAAATCCATCATCATCATGACCACCAACATAATAGATCTAATTATTAAATCTAAAATAATAAATCTAATTATTATTCTAATATACAAACCGCCAGATGCAACAGTTGAGGAATTCACAGAGCAGATACACAAAACAGAGAATATCCTTGACTACCTAGCAAACCCAGTACCAGATATTATCTTTTGGAGACTTCAATCTACCCAGTTTCAGAATGAGAATAGCAAACAATAACATTATAGCAGGAAATCAACCTGGAAATAACCAACCACAGGCCAGAGAACTACTGAGATTCTGTGACAAATTTTCACTCAACCAGCAGATATCAGCCAGCTAGGAACGAAAATATAAAATAATCAGTACATATTATACGAAAATATTCATTTTATACAAAATATAATAATAAAAAGACATAATCAGGGACATTACGATCGCAGATACCACATACTCAGATCACAAGCTCATTGAAGTGCAAACTACCAACAGTAGTCAGAATAGACCTAAAACAGTGATCAAGCGAGAGAGGTTATTCAGTAAATTCAATTTATAATAATAAAAGGATGGACTGCAAGAAAATAAACAGGGAATTTACACACATTCATTGGGAA